ATATATATATATATATATATATATATATATATATATATATATATATATATATATAATGTGTTATTTTTGTGTTTGTTTTCTGTCATAAGGAAAATATGAAATAAGTGTCCCAGAAAACCTTAAAGTTAATGAGAAGATTGGCATCCTGGAGTTAATAGACTTAGACGAGGATGAGAACAAGCAGCCCATCTTTTCTATTCCAAGTGGCAATGGGAATGTATTCAGCACCAAACCCAGTAAGGATAACAACTGCATACTGGTGCTCAAACAGGTAAGAGACTTGGAGGGGAGAAACTGATGAGATAATGTCTCAAAGCAGTCTTGTTTTTAATTCACAGTTATGTGGTGTAAGATATTTTAAATCTTTATGGTTCAATTCATTCAGATTCTTGGTTAGGGAGGAATTTTAGTTTGAAAATGTTCTGGATTAGCCTGACCATTGGCTTTCACCCATTGAAGTGGATATCTCTTGTTGAATTTCAAACTTGCCAGTCAGCAAACAGAAGAAGTCATGAACGATGACTTTGATTTTCTGCACTGTTTTAAGTTTAAAGTCTGCCTGTAGTTTTAGCAATGAAACCCATTGAGAAATTACCTCAAGAAAACTATCGGCAAAAAATATATATCTGCTCTCAGCTTCTGTAGAAATCTGACCCATTCAGATCACCACATTCGAACTGGCTCAAATCTGAAATTCTGAAATGTAACTTCTTAGTATAATGTGACATACGTACACAGCTGATGATACACTGAAGTATTTAAGGCGAAGATCTTGAAATATATTGTCTGTTGCAACAAAATGCAAGCAAGATGGATTTAAACATGTCCAAGAGAAAAAAACAGAAAACAGCTCTGCCTGTGTGTTGCACATGAATTGTCTCCTCCAGCTGCACATCCAAAACATGGATGAGTTTCTTCTAAACTTAATCCATGAAATAAGTGAAAACCGCAGAAAATTTGTAACACTTGGGTGCTGAAATGTTGGAGGCCCAGGAACTGATGGAAAACTCTTGCAGGAACATTAAAACCCGAGAGTAAAAATACATTCCGCTATCACAGAACATTACAAACATGAACGAGTCGAGTAGTAGGATGATAGCAGTGAGCTCTGACAAGATTTTCGTAAATTCTCATACACCAATACACTGACATCCTTATTGTGTTTTTTTTTTTTTTTGATCATGCTTCCTTACATCTACTGCCAAATAACGACAGCGTAAAATGCAAACCTGGAATTAACACAATACATTTTTTTGTAGTAATACACAACACAGTGTTTGAGCTGCGTTCTTCTGGTTGGAGAAGATATTTATCCCTGCAGGAATTTCTGAAGGTTTACTTGTCAAGATAAAGTATTTAGGGCTTCAGAGAGTTGAAGATGCACTATTGTAAAATAAGCAGGGTAATAACTGGCTCCCATGCTGGCCTAGAACCAAATTGGACTCTGATCTGTTCACTCGCCCCTCAGCTCTGTAGCCACTCTTCATCTTCCTCACCGTCTGTATTCACAAAATAAACCCAGCTATCGTCCACGCCGCCGCCGTCAAGGTTTCATTGCTGCTAAGGTGTTTGCTAATGCCTTTATATAGCCTGCGACTGAGCAGCATTATGACTGTGGATAATCGTGTTAGAATATTCCCATCTATCTGTTTTGTCCTTTCTGCAGATGAAAATTTGCTGTTGTAATGCAGTAGAAAGAAAATAACAAACAGGATAAGAATGGCTTCGCTTGTTCAAGATAAATAAAAATCAGCGTAAAGCAAAACTTCTTTGATTAGGTATACGATCACAAAGGAGGAACATGTTGGTTTTTATCTTTTACGTTCAAAAAAATTCTTCTTAGGGTGCTGTGGTGGCGCAGGGGCAAAGCACAACCCACATATTGAGACCTTGGTCCTCGTGCTGGTGGTCGCAGGTTTGATTCCCAGCCTGGTGACATTTGCCGCATGTCTTCCCCCTCTCTCATTGCCCTCTTTCCTGTCGAACTACTTTCAAATAAAAGCCACTAGAGCTAACAAAACCTTTAAAAAAATTCTTGTGGGGAAACAGTGACATATTTAAAAAGAAAATTATTCTGATGTTTCAAGTGTGAAAAATAAGTTGCTGTCACTATTGAGGTGGGAATTTAACATTTTAGGAAGTGAGAAAGTGTGTGTAGTACCAAAGCTTGAAGTCAAGCTGCATCTTTAACAACCTTGGAAAGATTCAAAGTTGATGCTATAATGAAACAAATTAATTTTGAAACGTCATGTTGAAAAAAACAAAGCAATAAAAGTCTAACCTTAAAAAAAGTTCACAAAGAATAGAGATGCTCAACCTGTCTTTTAATCTGAATTTACTTAATCTGCTGTTACTGACATATTTTGTTCTAGAATGGTTTTACATTCACAAATATATTTTATTTCCCTGTGTTGTATACGCTAACTCAGTTATACTGCTACAGTTTTCCTCACATCCTCACTTTTATTAACTTTAATACTCAAATGTTTAAGTCACAGTGATCTTTTGACATATCATTTACATTGCGATTGTATTTAGTGAATTGACCAAATGACTGAGCAGCTTTTATTTGTGAATAGCACCGTTAGCATAGCTAGCATCACTGACTGTAACAGTGTCTGCACACATTGAGCCTCTCATACTTTCAGGGGTTTAGGCACCACATTTTCCTGTGAATGGCTGAAATATCTCTGTAAAAATATCTATTTTAATAAATTAATAGATAACATACCTTAATATGAATCAATACACTCAGTGGAAACCATGTTGGCACTACTGCAGAAGCTAACTGCAGTCTTCCTTATTTCCATTTTTGCGGAAACACCCAATCAAAACCAAGAAAAATAAACACAGCTCTTTGATTGGCTGACTTAGGTGTCAGCCAATAGGATATTAAGTACGACTCGGTGGTAGAACTGGAAAGTTTTCATGGGTGTGGCCAGGCTGATATCATCGCTATCTGAGTGGTGTTCAACAACTGAAAGGCCTAGACTGCTCTAAATTTTTATGCAAAACAAATATTTAATTTTTCTCTGTCAGTAGAAGGCTAACTCTGCAGGTGTCTAGACATGGATCGTTAAGTCATCTAACATATTAATCTAATGACATTTATGAAACATCTGTTTGGCCACTAAGTTTACAGATTTAACCCTAACCCTAAAAGTATTATATATACTTTTAATATTTAAGTGTGAAGCAACTTTTCAACTGTAAAGTAAAACTCCAAAAATGTGACCCAACATCCTGGAATGATGTCAGTGTTTGTTTCAAATCCTATGTTAGATCTCTGCTGAGAACATTGTCTCATAAATGAAGAATCCACCAGACTATTTGAAAAAGTTTTAGCTGACGTTTTGTAAATGATCGAGTCTCCTGGGTTGTTTTACGTTTGCATCCTTTTCACACCTGAAGTTCTCAGCCGTTCCCGTTCAAATAAATGGAGGTGCAAATGTGCTCCTGCTCAGCAAAAACAAGAACGCTCATGTCTTCACATGCTCTCTGGAGGATGAATCCAGCGTTAGAACAGATTGACTTCAAATGTGCAAATGACATGATGTCAGAAGGTTTAAAATAGCAGCGGCTCACTCACCTCCTCTCCTCTCTGCAGGCTTTAGACTACGAGTCGCGGAATAACTACACCTTCACTGTCAGGGTGGATGAACGGCTACAATTTTCTCCAGCAGAAAACCTCAACGTCGCAAATACAACGGCACAAGTAAGTCCCTCATCGGCTAGCGTAAGCAGAGCTGAAAGTAAATTGAAAGTTCTACTTTTCTGATTTAGAGATTGGATCTCACTAACTTTCATTCTGTATTTTGTTAATGTTCAACAAAAAACACAAACACCCTGTTTTAGAAATGAAGACACATTTCTAAAATAGGAAATGTTTTAGAAACACCCCAGAAAACAGAGTTAGATGCATACATTTCTGTGCAAAAGTCTTAAATCAAAACTAAATTTCCTCTCATTTTCAGACAAAACTATTAGCTTTCAAACGAAGATTTTCGCACAATACATTACTGCATCATTATGGAAAATAAAAATTATATTGAGTGTCAAAACCTGCTTGAATTTCCACTCTTGTTTTTCAAATCCAATTATGTAAAAGATATAAAGTCAGAATGTTATAAAGAAACAATTTTTTTTTACAGTGATTGTGATCGAATGAGGATCGAATGCGCCCTCATTCAAAAGCAAAAATGGGAAGTTTCACTTCTTTTTCTGATTATTAAACAGGACCAAGTTTAAATGCCAAAAAAACAAATTTTGGGACATTTTTATTATGAGAAAAGGAAAATCAAACTTAACCCAAATGAAAGTGTAATGTGTTTAATGTGTGAGCGCCGGAGATAGGGTCACAAATAATCCCATAAAATCAAGATGTTTAAGTTTAGGAAGGTTTGAACTGGGATGTTTTGAAGGAATCCAGAATGTACAATCATCAAATAAATTGACTGTGAACCTAAGAGGGCAGCAGAGGTGAAAGTGAAGTAGAGTATTCAGATCATGTCCAAATCAAAGCGTTTCTCTTCTGTAATATGCTGCAGGTGACCATCAAAGTGACGGATGTGGACGAGCCACCAATTTTCACTCACTCCATCTACAACTTCAGCGTTCCAGAGGAGCAGATGGAAAAAACAATATTGGGGAGAATCCAAGCCAGAGACCCAGATGGAGTCAGGAAGCGCATAGAGTACGGTTCCCCTTACAGCTGAGTCCAGCTGTGCAGCCACTCGTCCTGCTCATCACTAGCTCTCATTGTTTTCAGGTACTCCATCCTGGAAACGGGCTTACCCTTTAGGATCGACTCGACCTTGGGTCAGCTGTCTGTTCTGAGGAGGCTGGACAGAGAGGCGGAGGAGCAACACATGTTTAAAGTTAAGGCGCAAGAGGAGAATGGCGGTACGTCACACATCAACACTGAACCAACACGTCCTCACAAAATAAAGATGGGAACATGTGTGCATTTTTTTAAACAATGGAAATTTGAAAGTGTTAAAACGGACGGTATTTTTGTTTCGGTCAGGTTGTGACACATTAACAGGGATTTTATCACAGATTTAACATGTTCCTGTAACACCTGCTTCCACCACTCTGGAATTGGAGACTAAGCAGGAAAATCACATTAGCAAGTCTTTTTGTTCACACACAGCTTTCTGTATTTTTAGACAAGCAAATGAATGAAATCCAGAGATCTATTTTAGCTGCTTGTCACAACGTTTAGGGAGCACAACGGTCCCCCGAGCTTTGACTAGGTCCTCCATATATAAAACATGTTCTTGTGCTGGAGATATTTTTAAAAACAGAGACAGCAAAGAGAACTATCAGCAGAGGAGCAAAGCAAAAGAAGTTGTAAATGCATCATAAGAGACACTTTAATAAAAAACAATACCTGTCAAACACGGAGCGCGTAAATAGAAAACTTTTCAGTCACTTGACCTTAATCAGATCCGTCACAGACGCAAATTGCTCATAACTAATTATAATCACAGCTAGTCACTGCCAGACCCGTCTGCTAAAAAAATAATAATCAAGAGCTCTGATCAGGACTCTGAGCCTAAAACACAAAATCTAATATTTATAAGCAGAAAAATTCAAATAGATTTGGGATCTCGGTGGAAATTTAGAGGTTTTCTAAGTGACAATTAATTTTTTAGCTGAGTGTTCAATAATGTAATCCTCCATAGCTTCCACTGCAGGAATTTTAAATAGTTTGCAAACAGCAAAAGAAAATATGAGTGTATGATTTTAAATTTAATTGTTTCTCCTAAGAGTCTGAGAGCACAGCGGTCTTTGATTGGACCTATTTGTATTGTACTTCCATCGGGTTTCATGTATGTTCAAGGAAACCACATCATCACTGACACTTGATGCTATTCTAGCTGCTTTTAACTGAATAAAAGTTGCAGTGTGTTGATTTTTTTGTGAGGATTTGGATTTTGTGTGTATTTTTTCAGTTAACTGAGTCTCTCTGTTGTCACGGCTACCCCTTTATTGTTTTCAGCTGTCCTTTGTTTTCCCTGATTATCTCCCTATGTATTTAACTTCACTTGTGTCCCCTGCTCTCTGTTCGATCCTTGTCTTATGTCATTTGTCTTTGCAGTCATGTGTCATGTCTCTGCGTTCCTCCAGTGCTACCAGTTTGTGAGTTCTTAGCCTCATCCTTCACCTGTGCTGCAGGTGAAGGATGCAGCACAGGTGAAAATGGTGAATACAACTAAGAGTATTTCTGTACTCTTAGTTGTCACCATTAAAATCACCATTTTCACAATAATCTGAGTTCACTGTGTCTCTACCTCACGTCAAACAATCCACAATTTGTGACATTTTTAGAGTTAAACCTCCCTGTCATGAACCAGTGTGGACAGTATGACCGTGTCTACTTAGACATTCTTAGGCTGCCTAGCACATTTTTGACCTTAATTTTGTAGATTGCAGATGCAACATGCAGCAGATGTTTCCTTAATGAAACAGACTTCTGTATGAAAGTACTAGAATGGTTACAGACTTAAAGTGTTGCCCATAAGTTCTGCCTTGTTCTGAACAGACTACTCAATCACTCAGCAGCGGCCACTATTGGCTCTACAGAGCAATTCAGTATGGCTCACTGCGCTTCGGTACGCTACGCTAAGGTCTGGAGTATGCAGGAGGAAATTGCTCTAGACTGGCAATGGCTTTAGACTACCCTAACCCAGTGTAGGTATTTAACACAAACACCTACACTGCAGAAATGCCAAATCTTACCAAATAGCTCTGTTCTACTCTCTGTGCAAATATGATAGGTATTTTCTCAACCTACATAAAAAGAACCACAGACAACATATGAGTTTTCAACCAAGCTTTCATGAAAGGAGAAGTCGCAATGTACAGCTCCTGCGAGCCATTCACTGCGGGTTCAGTTGAATTAAGACAAAACTGACTCGTAAGTAACTCGTCAGCAAGACGTAGGAGCTTCTTTTAAATCAATAATTCCTCAATGTGTATGAAAACGTACATGTCTATTGGCAGGTTATTTCACTTATGAGAAAACTTGATATAAGTGAAATAATCTGCCAGTAGAAGCACTTTTGATCATTGTTAAGGAATTGCTGACTTAAAACAAGCTCCTATAACTTGCTGAAAAGTCACTTGTAAATTAGTTTTACAAGTGACTGTAAAAAGGTATTTACGTGGAACTGTAAAAAGGTATTTACGTGAGAAGCTAAAACAAAACTCTGTACGATTTTGTGTTTTGCAGTGAAATGTTGCGTCACACCAGTGTAACAACAACCATAAGGCACAAGTGTGTCTTGTGTTTGTGTCAAGCAGTCTCATTTTTCTATCCTCCAGTGTTGGACCGTGTTGTGTCTATAGTACTTTATCCTGCAGATGTCCCTCTCAACAGGGCCCAGGGCAGTGCAGAACAGGTCGCTTTAACAGGCAATGTTTCTGGACAGTGTCTGTTTCCGTTGTCTGCTTACTATGGAAACTAGTGTAACAAACCACACAAGCCCATGTAACAGTATCACTGAAACCAAGACATGAAGCCAAAATGGTAGAGCACATAACATCAGAACTGCATTAAGTCAATATTGTTGCTGTGTGTTGTTTTCTTTTATTGTAGTTAAAAGGCCAAAGTGTTTCTACATCAGTGGTTTAACAAACATCTCGCCTTCATCTGCATTTGTGTTTTATTGATAAAACTTTGCTTGAAGTTGATGCATTGTTCTAACTTGTGTTAAATCCCTTTTCACTCTACAATTACCCACTATGCTAGGGTAGTAAAGCAAAGTGGCTAAGCAAATGCAGAGTCTCACTTTACTTTTGAGGAGTAAAATGTGGCGACAGGTTGAGGCATCATGTCAGTAAGAAGCTGAGTTTACTCAGTGCGCTGACTCTCCTGAAAGCCACTGTTGAGAAAATAATAGAAATTACAGGAAAGGCAAAAGCAGAAGAAAACTAAGCAAGAATTTTCTGGTTCATTTACAGAAACGCAGCTTATGGAAAAACTGCTGACATAAAACCACAAAAACACCCAGATATTCATGAAATGTCTCTCCTCTGTAGGCCTGGCGTCATTTGCTGACGTTTTTGTAACAGTTCTGGACGTCAATGACAATCCACCTGAACTGATTGCCAATGATATCTTTGTGTGTGAGAACGACGTCAGAAACACGGTGAGAGGAGAACATTCTAAATACCGTTTGGTTACTTTTAGATAACAGGCATTTGCATTTAACTCAATTTTATCTTCTCTATCTGGTGTTTTGTATGACATAATTTGCTACAGTCTGTGTGTTACTTGTTTCCTGTTTTTAGGTGATCGGTAACTTGGGAGCCTCGGACAAAGACGATCAAGCAGCTAGCTTCACTTTCAGTCTCGCTCTTCCCAGCTCCAACTTCTCCATCAGAGACCACGGCAGTGAGTGCTTGTAATAATTACCTTGCTCTGCTGCTTCTTTACCTGTTGATCCAAGCAAAAAGGGGAACTTGCAGAGGGCCTGCTAATTTGTTGCTAAGTAACAGATGAAACTATCGGTGTGACTATCAGAGTGCTCAGTGTTGATTAGTTGTAACTGAGTGCTTTTGTAGTGCGTTTTGTGCTTCATTATTCCTCAGAGAATAAAGATGGTCACAGTTTCTTCACTGATCCTCTGTTTTATTTTTTATTAATTTTTTTTAATGAAGTACAGGGCATTTCAGAATTAATTTAATGAGAGCCAATCTTTGCCCTTTTGGCATAAAACACTATTTTAGAAAAAATAGGACTGCTTTTATGAGTGGCAGACACGTTGCAATGGATAAAATCTTATTGTTTACATCTGTAAATTTTGCTTATGCAAAACGCTGAAGGGCAAAAAGGCGATTATTTTCTTTGCCATCCATGGCCACAGCTGCACTAGAACAAATCAATTAACAAAACAAAACCTAGAGATGAAGTTGTGATTCATTCAGGTCAGTGTGTCACAGCAGAGTTCTCTCTGACATAAATTTGTTATAAAAGTATTACTGATTGCACTTTAAAAATTAGGTAACTTTATGTTAT